GAAGTGGATTGTGCACAAATGTGCCCACTAAGGCTGAAAGAAGCAGAAATTAGCATAAAAAGTAGAAATAATCTGTAAAAAGCAGAAATCTGCCCAAAACAGCTGAATAATAAAAACAAAAACAAAAAAAGTAGAAAGGAGCTTAAATTACCAAAACAAAGTGGAGTGAGCATAAATGTGCCTGAAGTACTGAAAGAAGCAGAAATATGCCAAATAAAGTTGAAGTTATCTGAGAAAAGCTGAAATTTGCCCAAAACTGTTGAGTAATAGCTAAAACAAGCTGAAAGAAGCTCAGTTTACTTGAAGGAAATGTGTGTGTGTTTGGAGGGGGGGGGGGGGGATGTGCTTAATGAGTTTGAAAAAAGTTTAAACGATTGCAAAAAATGTGGAATTAGCTGAAAAAGGTGAAATTTGCATAAAACAGCTAAATATTAGCTGAAATAGCAGAAATAGCTGAATTTAGCAGAAATAAGCTTAAAGGAGCATAACAAGCTGGAATTAGCAGAAATAAGTCACAAGAAGCACAAAAATGTTGGACGTAGCTGAATAAAGCTGAAAGGAGCACAAAACAGTTGAACAAAAAACAGCTGAAAGTAGCTGAAGTTGTAGATTTAAAAAAAAATTTGTAGAAGGAAGCTGAAAGAACTTCATTGGATCTAAATGTGAAAGTAAGAGGTTGTAAACAGATGTGAAAGATGTAAAATGAGCTCAATTCATCAAGGGACATATTTTATATTTAATACAGATAATTACGATGGATGGATTTACAGCAAACTGGAGGGTCTGGATGTGCATCGAGGGAAAAGCAGCTGTGACGTCAAATATGATTTTACAGGTTGAATCATATTACATATTATAAATAAAATGGGTTTAAACGTTTATTAAGATATCAACAAATAAAAACACTGGAATGAAAGTTAATGCAGCTGCACCGTGCAAAACGTGCAAAACGTGCGAAACGTGTGTTAAAATATATTTCCCCCTATTTAACAGTAAATGTTTTTTCATTCATTTTCCATTCTCACACTTACAAATAACTGTTCAAATTATACAAATAAATGTTAAATGATATCAGTTTTATAGACGTGTTGCTGTCTGCAAATGAAAAAGAATTAAGCTGTTTATTTGTGATGTTTTAAAATAAATTATTCATGCTTTTTTCTTTTTTACACACAAACAGTGGCACAGCAAGTTCCTTATTTTCCTCGACGTCTTTCAGTTTTTATTTCTCTGAGCCCAGATTACCAGCAGGTCTTGTCCAGAATCTTTTTGAACTAATCACAACTTGAACGCTGGTTTAACGTCAACTATGAGTTTAAATTGTTTCATGACAATTCAATTTTAATTCAGTTTATTTATATATAGCGCCAAATCACAACAGAAGTGGTCTCAGGGCACTGAACAGAAACGTTCATATATAAAACAATAATTTAACTTTATTTATCTGAGGAGCAGACTGCTTCGAGTTTATCTTGAGCAAGCACGAAGGCGACAGTGGAAAGGAAAAACTCCCTCATGAGGAAGAAACCTTTAGCAGAACCCTAGATGACAGAAGAAAGCAGAAAACGTACATTCAGAACAAAAATAGCATTGAGCTGCTGTGTGTGGAGGTGTTTGCTTTATCTTCATCTTTCTCCGAATTTAATCAAAACCTGGGCCTGACTTCCTTTTTCTGATAAATGTCTTGTTCATTAGAAACAACTTTTCCCAAAGAACTATGGAAACCACTCAGATTACTGCCTTTAGCAAACATTTTAAACATCATTTCCGCTCTAAACAAGATCTACAGCCCACGTGAATAAATGTTCATCTCATAACTGTAATTATGATTCTGACGCTTTTTACATCTGTTTTCTGAAAGTGATGCCAGAAAATACTGAAACTGTCCATCATCCACCAGCGGAGATGATTTCAGGAACATCTCAGCTGCTTCCTTTGACTTTGCAGAAACTCTCTGAGGTCATTGGGGACACACTTGTTGCCTTCAAAGCCCCCGGGCCTCCTTTGTTCCAGTGGTAATGGACATGTCGGTCAATAGGATCATCTGACGTTAATGAGCTCCGCACACACAGGACGGACACATGCTCCACGTTTAGTGAGTGATGAGGTCCAACGAGCGTTCAAACCCATGCTAGTGTCAAAGTCAGAGTCCATTTTATAAAATCAGTGGATCGTCCTCGTCCACGTGGCGTCAAGTTGTGTCGCATTTGTTTCTGTTAAACGCAAAAATGGATGGTAGTGTATAAATATTTTAAAAATCAAGGCATCTCTTGTAAATGAGTCCTCGAGGCTCAATGGGATTAACCGGTATAAATAAAAGTTGAATGAACGTAAAATTCCATGAAGTAGCAACATTATATTATTTTAGTGTGTATATATATATATATATATATATATTAAACCCTTCCCACACTCTTGCAATGTTCTAAACTCTTGTCATTTTATCAACATACGTACTGTACTGTGTATATGTAACTACTAAATTTTACCCACCGGGAAGAACAGGAGCGGCTCTCAGTTCCCGTCCAGCTGTTCCGGTCCAACTTGGTTCAGTTTCTGCAGACCTAACCTGCAGCGACAAAGTCCACCGTCAATGCTCTAAACTCTTAAAACTACTAATTTTTAACAACATACTTATATGTAGCTAGTACATTTTACTCACCAGTGCGTCACCACTCGGAGATAGGAGCTCTTGGGTTCACTGCTGAGTCTGGGCGTCCGGTTCTGGTCCAGTTCAGTGCAACTCTTAAGTACCAAAGGGCATTTTGCAGTGGGGGGGCAGACCTTCTGTTGGCCGGGTCTAGAGATCTGGTTCTGGTCCAGTTCTGGTCTTGTTCGGTGGTTTCAGTGCGGCTTCTCTGCATCCGCTTGGCGCCGATCAGATCAAAACTTTACCTCTGGTTTTTCAGCAGAAGGAAACGGGGCTTCTGGGTGAGGCCCTGTTGCCTTCTGGGAAATGTGGTTGTTTTGAGCGGGAGTAAAGTGGAGGCTTACTGAGAGACAACTACAAAATGGCAGCACCTGTCCAAAGTATTTCTTACTTGTTCCTTAACTTTTTACTGTACAGTACTGTATCCAGTACTATTCCAATCACGTGAGTAATGTTAAAGTTGACAATCGTGTGTCCTGTGTAGATGAACATATGCATGAGATATATTCATCAATTAAACGGATTCTTTCATTTTTCTGGACTGTATATAATGTGCATTGAATTTAGAAATGTAACGTGAGACGTTAATTATCTTTGACCCATCAAAATGAATGCGGTCATTTATTAACAGAATCAAAGTTTAACACATCACACATTTACATTAATTGGCAAAATATGGAAAATAACAACATGGCTAG